TCCATCCCACCCACTCCCCCCCCCCCCCCCCACAGGAACCCTGCCTCCTTCAGTCACAGGACAGATGGTACACAGCAATGAATAAGTTGCTTCATTTGCATTCTTCACTGTATGAGCCCGTGCCTTATTTATTATTCAAACCCTGCTCTGAATGCAGAAGTAGAAGTATCCTCAGAGAGAGCTTTCACTTAACATTTGTTGTATTTCCCGCTTTGCAAACGATTAATTTATTTTCACACTATTCCTGAAAGGCAAGGCAGGGCTATTGTCTCCATTTTATATGGGGAAACTGAGGCACACAGAGACTATTACTGTTACTTAGGTTTACCATATTTTATCACATACAAGACATCCCTACAGTGATACACATCTTGTTTCTGAAAGGCAGAATTTGGCATTATAATCGCACCCTGTATGTGTCAAGCAAAAAAAATCACAACACCCAGAGCAGCTCCTTTAAGCATAACACTGAGAGACGTGAAAAAAAAAATCATGAGTTGACAACAGTGGTGCAAATCCTGGATGTGGACTTGCTTTGCCTAAATGGGCTTTGCATTCTATGCTGGTGCTTCTCACATTACAAAAACAAGAGCTTGCACTGATCCACTTGTGCCCTTATTTGAAGACGAAGTAGTTGTAGCCAAGAGGAAAGCACAGCTTGCTGTGCCCTGCAGTCTGCCACTCACTGTCATGCTGGTTCTGAGGCCCAAGTTCCAGAACAGACCATGCCCTCCACAGCTGGCCCCTAAATCCTTCCATAACCACTCTCCATACATTCTCGGGGAAGTAACAAAGGTAGAAGTGCACTTGTGTACAGAATTTGTGCAGTGGCGCCCCCCGTTTCCATACAGGCAGGGACTAAGAGAGTGAACTACAGCAGGGGCTGGAGGCCTCCTCCTCCTCCTCTTTAACACCTCATTTCCTCCAGCATCCTCCTTCTCCCAGCTGCCCACTCTCACTTTCACTTAAAAGCATCTTCCCATTATTCCCCTTTTCCACCTCCCTGTGCAAGTTTCCCATCCCAGGACAGAGGCTGACACAAGACTGATCTCATTGCCCGGCCCAACCCTAATGGATGGATTTCAACTGCTGTTAGACAGTGTGACGACATCAGCAATGACACCCGACAGCAACGACACAAGCAGTGTCATAAGCCTGGGAAGGCCAAAGTGCCGGGCCACCTTGACACAGGAGAAGGGACACAACGCGCCTGCTTCACTCCCTGCTGGGAAAGGGGCAGATGCAGTAGAGAAAGGGAAAGTCAGGACCTTGTCATCACTCGCTCCGTTCCCATGACGGACATACGCAAGGCATTTAGTAAAGTGCAGCAGCCCAGGGAGCAGACTGAACGCGCATGGGAGAGAGCAGGGTCCGGAGACTGAATGAAACGCAGACCGCTGGAGCATAAGCGGAGGAAATGAAAAAAAAAGAGAGGTGGAAAACAAGAGGCCTTGAAAATAAGTACTTCCCCTCTTGTCAAACTATAATGAGAACCCCCTCACCCACCCTGGACAAACTCATCTGGGCCCCACCATGTGCCTACTGGGCACTGGAAGGGATGCCTGGCATGGCAGGAGTACTTCTCCTTTGAGATGCCTACCTTCAGGACAGAGCTGTTACCACATTGCACAGCCAGGGAAAGACACAGAGAGATGAGTGGCTTGACTTTCAGGAGCAGGTTGCTCGTATCACTTCCAAAGGCCAGAAGCCAAGGTTACTCCCCACCCTCGAAATCCTCAGGCCATAAATAACTTGCCTAAATCTATACACTGAGTCTAGGGTGAAAGCAGAACTAGAGCCCTATATTGGCTCCAGCCAGCAGACACTGTTTCCTCCTGGACTTGTTATGCGAGTGCAATAAAGGAGATCCACACATCTGGCCCACACTGCCAAGTGATCAGCACCTTCAGGTGCTTTAAATTTTTCTAGTGTCTATGGAAAAAACTTCCAATAAGACCCAATTTCCACGGAGTGCTCAGCACTCTTCTTCAGACAATTAGAAGGCCCCAAGTCTCAGTCTAGAGTTCACCCCACAAGACTGGCAATGGGACCCAAAAAGCAAAGAGAGGGAAAGCAAAAACTACTGCTCATTCTTGACAATCATGGACTAGCTTTTCTGCAGGGCAGGAATTGTTTTCTAGGGGCCTGTGCAGATTGAATTCACTGGGACACAATTTGAATATAGAAAACAGTACTTATTTGCCTTAAAAATGAATCGGCACCTATTATTTGCCTGTAGAGTCTTTCATGCATGAGATGCATAAAAAAAGGAAGGGACCAACCCTGTGCTTGTTAAGCTGTGCACCCTGTGAAAACACCAAGTAAAAGGGCTCTCTCAGACCCAAGTCTAGGTGTACAGAATGCTCTTCCAGGAGTCTGAAAAACAAGATGGGCAACATTTGCTTCTTCTAATCGCCCACATACAAATTGTATGAGCATGCAAAGTACCTTAAAAAAATAAAGCACCCCTCTTGAGTGGATTGGATGGACGGGTAAAGATGCCACTACTAAGACCTAAACAACCTGCCCCTTAGAGCCCTTCTGTGGCTCTAAATTTGGATGGGAGACATTTCCACATCTCACAGATCCTCAAGATGAATAAACCCCAGTCCTACTCCTTCAGGCCATTGGTGAGCAGACCCTTTCTTCCTCCATGCCCAAGTTCATGGTGAATTTGTGATCTGTAATTACACCAGAGCTGAATGAAAGAAGAGCAGGAGAGAGAAGAGTCTTCCTGCTCTGCAGAATGTATGTGCTGTCCAGCCACACTGGAGAAGATAATTAACCCCACAAACTACCACAATACCCGGCTCAGTCAGCCCACTCTACCTCCGTGGAAGCATAGGCCCATAAATTGCTCAGAATCCTGTTTGGCGAACTGTAGCCTGTTGTCTATCCCAGAGGGCAAATGTACACAACGGAAGGAAAGGCACTAGGCCACAGCAAAACCTTCGTCCAATTCCTGACAGGGTTACCCCAGGAAGGGGTGAGAATACTTTAATGCATACAAGCCTCTTGGGACTTAAAAGCAGCAGGGCTTACTAACAACAAGTACTATATAGTCAGCTTTATTTCTATTAAATGCAGATGCTTGAGTTTAACAGAACAATTTCTCATTGCATATTTGCTCCTCACAAACAGTCTGAGGTACTTGACACTCCAGACACTAACTAGATGTTATACATCAGCAAACTGGAAGCTACTTGTCTGACTTCCCAGAATACCCTAACAAAGCGATGCACACTGAACTTGTCAGATACAGAATTGCTTTGCACCTGGCTAGGGTACCACATACACCAGCTTCAACTGCTAAGATAAAATGCCCCCAGGTACTCATAAACAGATAGATCCATAATACATAATACAAAACTGGGAGCTCAACTTCCCTAATGGTCACCAGCATTCAGAACCATGTTAGGAGACAGGGAATTTGGGACCTAAACGGTAATTTTTCATCCTCTCCTGCCATAGAGTTTCTTTAAAATGGTTAACGAGCCAAATAATACATTATATATTAGACAACAAGTATAATTGGTCAAAACTATTGGTATGAGGGGAAACAGCTTTCTTGGGAGGAATGTTGAAGCTAGGCAAGTGGCTCTCAAACTGACAGCTGTGGTACAGAAAACACACTCCACAGAAATCACAACACATGGACCCATTTTTTTCCTTATTTGCTTAAGGCTAGCAGATAGGTCAATATTCCAGATGCAAACCAGGGGATATGTTGGAATTGTTTTCCTGAGTTTACAGCAACAAGAAACTGGATCTATAAATATTGTTTATGATAAAAAGTCCCTGCTATAATTTTGCTCTATTTGAAAGATAAAATACACTCTGCTGGAAATAGTGATACATTTAGATTAAATCACAATTTTTTTTTTTTTTTTTTTTAAACCACCCTCAAACTGTGTGTGTCTCATCTGTTTTATGGGAAATTGCTATATGTGCCCTGCCCTAGAATTTCTTGACAGGAACAAGGAATCTTATTTTCTGCTTTACCTAATGTAGCTGTCAATCTCCCTGTAACACGAGAAAAAAAAATCTGGCAGTTATTTCATAAAGCATTTACAGGGCCAGGAAACTGCATCCTAGGATACATCTACTTTGTTTAAGTTCTTACATGTTTTGCCTTAAATATCCAGGTTCAGGGTGGTGACTAACAGCACTTATCACAGAAATGGGGACAACGCGATCCAGACTCCTTTTCTCCAGGGTGTGCATTAGTCATCAAAATCTGGGATGTCATCATAAGAGTAGCCCCGGTAGCCTTTGGAAGCATAGTAAGCAATGCGCAAGTGATAAAAGCCTGGTAGAAACACCAGGATCCCAATGATCAACACAGGGATGGCTCGGTCAGTGCCCTGAAAAAGGGGAACAGGAAAGATACACCAAGTTAACAGAATACTCCTAACTAGGCAAGTCCCTATTGCAAAGGCCTTATCTAGCGTTAAGCCCTGCCTTTGGCTCTGAATTTTCACCTTTAAGAATGGAAGCTTGCAACAGACCTTTTTTGGCCATTATGAAACAAAGCTGTTAAAAAACAGATTCCACTTACTCCTTTGCTAATGTATCCTGCAAGCAGGAGGGCTCCTATGACAATGAGAAGCGTCCCAATCATGAACAGCACTGTGGCAAGCGCAATTGCCTTGTAAGGGATTTTTGGCGGGCTCTTCTTGAACTGTAGGGAAGACAGATATTAAATGGCATTAAAAGTGGTACTCAAGACAACCCAAATGACATGAAGACTTGCCCTCTTGCTTTTGCAGGAGTACAAATTCCACACCTAGGATGAAGAGTAAGAGGGAATCTCACAGGGACTGTGGGTCTAGCAGCAGCATCTCAGTCCTGTGAAACCAGCTTCCTTGTAGCTGACCATTCAGTCTCAATAGCCTTATTTTTTTTAAAGCTAGGACTTGCATACAGCTATTGCCCTGCAGCTCAGGGGCACAGGGAGCAGTCCCCAGGGCTGCGTGAAGTTACAGAAGCCTCCCCAGAATTGCCTGTTACTTGTAACTCAAGCCAGAACTGATGACATCTCTGCAGGTAGGTGCATGAGGGCATGATACAAGGGGACACGTACATAATCCAAAGGGCTTTTCCCTTGACTCCTTGCAAGTTGTTCATGGACGTTATACCTGACAAGAGCAGCACACAGAAGTTAGAGTGTAACCTCAGCCCTGACATAGGAACAGAACTCTGAACTGTCCCATATTTTTGGCACATAAAAAGAAAAGACGTCCTCCTCCGCTTTTCCCTTTTACCTGCAGGTCAATGTAACCTTCATCAGTGCTGGAGAGCTTGGAATACTTCACTTTGCTACTGGGGATCCCAGCAGCTAGATTCGTACGTGAAGGCATCATAACAAGAAGGCCGTGTCCTCAGCTAGAACCTAAAACACACAAAAAGTAAAGGAACATAGCAGGCAAGCGGGCAATCAGGGTCGGATCCATACTAGTTAAAAACCACTTCTGAAGAGTTTCCTACCTGCATTAGTAACCTCTTGACTCAATAAAAATGAGGCTCAACACTTGCATGGCTCAAGCAGATTTCCAAGTGCTTTTTAAGTGCAGCTGATGGGTCAACAAAACCCCTCTCTCACAGGTGTGTAAAGGGAGGTCCGGAGAAGGATGCAAATTTGCCTCCAAGTGATGAATACAGAGCAGGGAAAAGGATGACCTCCTGGAGTCCTGTCCACCC